TGGCGCCTTGTCAATTTCCTGGCGCCTTTGTACTCACCCGGGGGAGCGATTAAAAAAAAAGGCACCACCTGCTGCAGCGCTTTTATTTTACTCACCCAGCGGCGCTCCGGGTCTTCGGCGGCATTTTGGCGTCGGGACCTTCAGTGCCGCCGAAGACACCCAAAGCGAGTGAAGGGCCCGCTGCCGAAGACCCGGAGCGTCACCGGGTGAGTAAAAGTGCCGCAGCGGGTGGTGCCTTTTTTTTTTTTATTGCTCCCCCTGTTCCCTCCACCTAGCTACACCACTGCAAACATATCCCCATGGCTGGCAATCCAAGGCCTCTTTCCCAGCATAACCTTTATTTGACTCCGAAAGCGCTCTACCGAGGAAGCTCTCCATGCATCAGGAGAAGGACTCTGCCGAGGAGCCAGGCTGGGGTGCCCTTGTAGGACAGGGTCACCCCACATCTCAGGAGAACAAAACCCATCTCGGCCACGTCCCCTCAGCTCCTCAGATGGGCACAAAGGCATTTCAGGGGCCAGACCCCAGCTTGGTTTGCATTGTGTATGCTAATTCTGCAAGGAAGGGCTTTGATGTGCCTCTAACCAACAGGGGATTGGGAAGAGGGAGCCTTGCGTGGGTTAGTTTGTCATCAGAGACCAGTAAGCCCCACAGAGGTCAATGGGCTTTGGACTAGGCCCTTCAAGAAAGACAACATTTTCCCAGCTGTCTCTGATCAGGAGCGTGAATTGTGACTCTGTCTACTGCGGCATCTATTTGCTGAACACTCCCAAAGTTGTTGTGCCTGGCACCAGTAAACTTGCACTGCAGTGGTCCCCAGAGGCAGCTGCATTTCAGTGGTGGGCAAAGGCAAAGAAATAAACACCTCTTTGTGTCCGCAGAGGCAGTGTGTAACGCACCATGCACCAATTCTTCCCTGCAAAAGGCACTATGTACCAATACAGGGGATTGGACATTGTTGGTATTAATTACTATAATCCACAGGAAGAAAGCGCAATCTATGTTGGTGCAGATCGTGTGTGTGTGTGGTCTCCCTGGCCCTGTGTCTTCATGCTGAAAGGAGCAAAACTGGTGCTGCCGGTTATTTCCTTCTCTTCACAGCTCCTTTTCTTCTTTCTTTAGACATTTTGATTCTCCAGCCTCCATCAGCTCTGTCACCAAATCTGGGTCCAGAGGCTAAATTTCAATAGCACATTTCAATTCAGTCACCAAAAAAATCCTGAAGGAGACTGAAGGAAGAACCCAAATCTCAGCAGTGACACTGTACGGAAAAATTGTCAATGAAGGAAGGAGCAAGGAGGGGCGGTGCAGATGCCAGATCAAAGAGTGAAGGGGATAGAGAAAGGAAAAGTAAGAAGAGGGAAAAAATGAAAGAAAGCGAAAATGAAGGGATAGCAATTCTGGGGAATTCAGAGGGCTTTGCTGTTTATGAGACATCATTTATGCCCCAGATTTTTGTTTGAGGGTTATTGTGACGGGAAATACTCGGGGATGATGGACAGTACTTAGTGCTGCAGGGGAAGGGTTTGCAAAACTATTCCAGGAAAGGTTTGATTGGTATTTTAAATTTAAAGGGGGAAAGGGGTGCAAGCAGAAATCTTGTCTTTATGGGTCAAGCCTAGTCCACCTGAGCTCCTTCCAGTGCTGAGTGCTAAGAAAACACTCTTTAGATAGATAGATAGATAGATAGATAGATAGATAGATAGATAGATAGATTAGAGAATGTAGCCACCTTCTGCTACACTACACATTTATTATTTTATTTTCAGGACTAAATTACAAGGCTGAATTTCAACATCTTTTGACCTAATCTCTTTGGGACTAATTCTGATCCTCTTAGTAGCATTTTCCTCAGTAATTCCTATTGATTGTAAAGGGGTTATTCCTGGGGAGAGGTGCTACTCAGTGTGAGAAAGAGAACTGGTTTCTGGCCCTTTCAATATCACATGCTTTGGTTTGTGAATCAAAAATGAAACTAGTGTAAGATTTGTCAATATGGTGAGCTCTTACTCACATGAGTAACTCTGTCACAGTCATGTGAGTAAATGCTTGTTGTTATGTATAAGGGTTGCACAATTTAACCTGCACTGTTTATATCTCTGGCTGGCAAAATTGTCAGCACAATTTGCCCAGCCCAGGCACAAATCTATTTACCCTGTCTTTATTATGCTGATGAAATGAATGAATGATATTTCACTAGGATTTCACAAAAAAAATTAGCCAAAGAAAGCAGGAAAGAAGAATTTTGCCAGGCTCCTTGAACGCTGTATACATAATCACCCATCTTTCTCTTCCAATTATTTTATTAGGTCATATTCAAAGCTTCTTAAAGTGATATTAAAACAGCAGCAAAACAGTTTCCCTTCAAAAAAAGTAAATATTTAATGAATGAAATTGACATTGATGCATTTTTAATATTGGCACAATTAAATCTGCCAGATGATTAAGTATTAATAACTCTTAATAAGTGCAATCAACTTGCCTTCAAATAGAATGAATTCAGGAGTGGAGCAATGCAAGGAGTGTTGCCATCAGTCTGCAATGGGATAGACAACAGCAATTTGGGGCGGATAATTTGTTCTGTTTGTTTAACAATCTTTAAACTTCCTTTATGTGTAATGTATTTACTCTCCTGTGTAAGGCAGGGAGATCACGTGCACTCGCACAAATTATCTTTTGGCATTTTAGAAAAGTTGCTGATATAAAATTGAAAATATCCAACTAAAGCTGTTTAGCTACTAGCCATTTATGTCCCTTTCCTATCAGCTGTCTGCATTTACAATATTTACCATTTCAAACCAACTCAGCATTCTCCTCAGGGGGGAGGGGAGTTTGCATGAATGTATCTATCTATCTAATCATCCTGAAATGCCTGGTAGAAGTTCTGAGTGCACACGCACAAGCTAGCTCCACTCCAAAGCTTAAAAAGTAAAGAGGGATGACATTTTAATTAGATGAGTGTCTCAAATTAAATGGCATTTTTTCAGCATGATATTTAAAGTTGCATAAGTCTGATTATTTTTGTGGCTTGGGGAAGGGTTTTCCAGAAGATAGATAGATGGATGGATGTGAAAGAAAGAAAGAAAGAAAGAAAGAAAGAAAGAAAGAAAGATATGTATTCACTTTTTGTACTGAAATGTCAACTGGCCCTGCCTTGTTAGCATTAGATGTGTAAACCAGACCCAGGAAAGCACACAGAGAAATTTGGGACGCTCAGTAACAGACTTGAGAACTAAAGAGATAAAATGGCCAGACAGTTGCCAGCTGTGGAACAGTCATCTATCTATCATGTTAAAGACTAAGTTTCATTTTGGCTTCCTAGAAACTCCAGAGAATACCTCTTGCTACCTGCATCCTGGAGTCTCATTTTATGTCTTGGAAACCATTCTGTTCTTTCCATCTGGGAGAGACATAACCTCCCATGTACCAGTTCTGTGCTTCCCCCCCTCTGTTTCAGTCATCTGGTGCCTCTACCTGAACTGGGGCTCAGCATTATATAAACCCCTCATCTCAGGAATCCTACCTGGGAAATATTGGAAATCAAGGAGTAATGCACTCACACATGCTACAGGGTATTAACTCCTAATTCTGCAAAGAAAAAAGCAATCAGGATTACAAGGCCTCTGGTTTGTATTCAGCAGGGGAGCTTTTCAAAACAGCCATCCGAGGAAAAGTTGGAAAGGCATAGGGTGATTTTGTTATTGTAGATGTTTGGAGAGGGGCAGTTTTGAGAATGGGGGACAATGATCTAAGCTCCCTCTTGGTCAGGGTGTTCTGAAATTTACCAGCTTTCATTACTCCTCTCCCTTGAAAAGAATCCCTCTGACGAGCAGAGAATATTCCATGACACATTTAAAGCTAAACCAAGATTTTGAAACACAAGTAGGGGGGAATCTGTTATCAAACAGAGACAGATTTGGATCCTCTGCTTTTTACAAATCAAGAGGGAGTGCCTTACTTCTTTATTCCTTTTAAAAATACAAACCAGAGTATTTGTTAAGGACTTAGCTGGGATGGATGGGGAACATTTATTGTATTACAAATCAGAGCATTTACCTAGAGGCAAACTGAGTCTGCTTCCCTCGCCTAGCTCTTTGGCTGCTGCTACTCAGTTGGTTTACCCCTTTGCTTTTTGCAAGCTGCTACTTTCACAACAGTTGCAAGAAGTCACCCAACAGGTAATCCTTTCCAGGACTGCTTCCCCCCGACTTTCGACATTCAGCGAGGTTACCAGGTGCCAGTTGATGACACACACCATTTTTCCCTGCAAAATGTTGTTCCTCAACTGCAGTATAAGCCCAGCCATAAACACCCCATTATTATTATTTAAAGGGATCAAGAGGTTTTATTCTCTATTTTGAAGTGATTTTCTCTCCAGCTAGAAACCAAACTGAAAAGCTGCCCCCTCCGCGGGCACGAAAATATTGATTTCTAAACAAAAACACAATTTTTTGTCACTAATTTAAATCACTAGACAAAGAGGGAGAGGTAGGCAACTCCCAGTGCCTAGCCCCCATCCATGCTTGAACCAGACCACTCCTGGCAAATGTGGCAAATCCAGCAGTTACTGATGGCACACACATGGGGCTCAGCCCCACAAGGATGGGATGGCGGTGGATGTATAATCAGGCTCCCTGCTCTTCATCAGACCCAACTTTACCCTCCCCATGGCTAAGAGCCTGGCAATCTGGGGGCAGGTAAAGCAGGGCTGGGTGGGCGTTTGGGGAGGGGCTCTGGGTGCAGGTGTGGATGCTGGGGGGCAGATCCTCTCCCCCTTGCACACACTGGGCCTGGGGAGCTAGCCGCCTTCGGAAGCTAGGTGCACGGTGCAGGTGGGGGAGCTGGGGCAGTTGCAGCAGGGCTGGGTGGGCAATCTGGGAGGCTCTGGGGGCTAGGTGCACGGTGCAGGCGGGGGCTGGGGCCGGGCCCCTCTCCCCCCAGCAGCCGGCCCTTTGTTGCTCGGGGCCGGGGCCAAGGCCGGGGCCCGGGGGCGCCCCTACCTTTGTGCATGCCGGTGAACCTGTCCTTCAGCACCGTGAGCTCGTAGATCTTGCCGAACTCCTCGAAGAGGGGCTTGAGGTCCCCCTCCTCCAGGTTGCGGGGGATCTGCCCCACGAACAGCTTGATGGCATCGTGGTCCTTCATGGCGATGCCGGCCGGGCCGGGACTCAGTCCGTTCATCCTGGCGGCGCTGTCCGCGGTGCTGAGCGCGGCACCGCCGCTGCCCGTGGCCATGCTCCCGCGGCCGGCCGCGCTCCTGCTCCGCGCGCGGGGCCGCCTCTGCGCGCCCCTCCGCGCCCCGCTCGCGCCTGCCCCCCGGCCGGATGACGTCAGCCGGCTAGCCCGCCACGAGACGCAAGGTTTTAGCATAATGAGGCAGCGGGAGCCAATCAGAGGGGGCAGCCGGCAGCGGGACAGGGGCTGGGAGACAACCCCCCTCCCCGCCCCCGTGCCAGCCCCGCTCCCCCGTGCACTGGGTTGGGGGTGCCAGGGGTGCGGCGGGGCAGGGCGCGGGGAGGGGTGCACCAGCCTGCTCCGTGGAGCTGGCACCGGGCGCCGGAGCCGTTCCGAGAGCAAAGGGGGGAGGGGGACAGGGAGCTACTATTGCAGCAGATGCATGAGCGGCTCAGCGGGCGGGCAGGGGGAGCCGGGGCAGAGGCCGGAGGCAGAGGCCCTGCAAACGAAGAGTTTGGGGAGCTGAGCAGAGAGTAAATGCCAAGGCGGTGGGAGGGGAGCAGTGACAGCCTTGTGGGTGCTGGCCCCAGGAGCAGACACCAGGGGCTAGAGAAGGGGCAGCACCCAGCACAACGCACATCCCTTGGACTCAGCCAGGCTGCCAGCCTCTTTCCTTCCCGGTAGAGCATTTGTGTGTTTTCAGACAGCCGGCTCCAAAAGGGGGGGGGGGGCGCACCCCTGGCTAGAAGTGGTTTCCATCACCTACAGGGCACAGTTTGGTACACTGGCTCTCAGCACCCTGGCTATACAGATTGTTCCAGCCCCCGTGCAGAAGGGGAGGCTTTGTGCAATCAGAAGAAGGATCTCTCCAGCTGCTCATGAACTGACAACTTTAGGGTCTGTCAGACAGAAACAGCTGAATTTTAACAAGGGATGTAAGGGGACAGAACACAACAGAAATGTCTTATCGAATCCCACTCTCTCATCAGATGTGTTACGGTTAGGTGTCTGTCCAATATCAGATTAGATAGATAGATTAGATAGAGGGGGTGTATGGGGATAGATAGATAGATTAGATAGATGATCGATCTTCCATTGACTTCAATGGAATTTAGGAACTTAAATACCTTTGTGGATTTTGGCCTATGTTGTTTTTAACATAAATACACTGGCTGGGAGCAGAATGGGAGTTGTCATGGCGAATACTATGTTAAACAAGCCAGGGTAGAAGCCTAGCAAGCTGGAGGCACTTAAGATTTCAGCACACTCTTTGCAGTCTCATCCAGTAGCCCTGGAGGAACTGAAAGGCCAGTTGAAAGGGAACATGTAACTGGGAAACTCGCTGGGCCTGTAAAAAACTTTCAACCCAGGAGGGAGCTTTGGGGGCAGCTGAGTTCCTCCCACATCCCCGGGGCATGGCCCTCAGAGCTTAGGGGCAGGGCTCTGCATGTGGGGGTGGAAGAAGCTGGGATCTCAGATCACACTTCCCCCTGAGTTCACACTGCCCTGAGTGGAGGATGATGGGGAGGGAGATTGTTTGTCTAACAGTGTGTGGAGGGAAAGCACCCTCATCCTGCGAAATGAGATCTCAGAGCTCAGGCCCTCTCCCCACACCCAGTGGGGGGCAAACACAGTGGGAATGAGATTCCATTTGCATAATTCCCATCCCTTCAACCTCCCCTGCTCGTGCTAGTACCCCATGGGCATTGGAGGAGATGCCCATATTTCCCAGGTCAGGCCTAGCCAGTCCTTCTCTTGGCAGCAATGTGCAGCACCATTGGCTGTGTGGGGTCTTCCCAGACTGCAGGGAGCTGGGGTGGGAGGCGGCCTCGTGTGGAAAGGAGCCACATCTATCTCCCTGTGACGAAGTGGGGTTTTATTCATCTTGTTATGTTGCATGTGAGTCTTACTGTCCTATACCAATACTGTGTGTACCTTAGTTTCCCTGTGTGCTGCACCAATACTTCAGTGGTGGGAATTGGGTGTGTGTGATTTTTGCTGAGGCCCTCAGGGCAGGTGAGGCTGCCCAGCTCTTCGCACCTATGTAACCTGAGACCCAAGAGGGGGGATGTGACCTTTTGCCGGGGAAGTGAGACAAAGAGAAGGAGGAGGAGCAACAAGGGGTGTGTCGTAGGTTAGGTTGCTGGAAGCTGGCAGTCTGCGTGGGGGGACTGGAAGAGGGGGAGTCCAGGGCGTCTGGCCCAGGACTCCCAAGATGGACTTGGCTGAAAGTCACTGATTTCTGTGATACCAAGCTCTGTTCTATGCTGTGTTCCTGTTGACTAATAAACCCAGGGCCATCCTTACCCATACGCAAAGTACTCAGATGGGTAGGGCACCAGGAAATTTGGGGCACCAAATTTCCTGGTGCCCTGCGCAGCTGCATGCTGCTCCAGCCCCTGCTTTGGCTCTTCCCCAGGGCCCCAGCCCCTGCTCCACACCCGCCCCGCCTCTTCCTGCCCCTATTCCCCTGAGCTTTGCAGCAGGGCGAGGGTTGCTCTCACTGGCGGCAGGAGTGCAGCGACCCAGACCCAGCCGCGCCGCCGCTGAGTGCTGGGGTGTGGGTACCTCACCCCCCAAGCCAACCACGCCACCCCTGCGGAGGCCTGGGGCCCACTCCTCGCCCCCCTCTGCGGAGGCCAGGGGCCCGCTCCTCCCCGCCCCCCCCCCCCGCCGGAGGCCTGGCGTCCGAGCCCCCCCCCCCAACTCCTGCAGAGGCCTGCCCCCATCCCCGCGGGGGGGCTGCATAGGGCCCCAGAATAGCTAGGGACAGCCCTGAATAAACCTTCTGTTTTTACCAGCTGGCTGAGAGTCACGTCTGA